TTTTGGTACCGGGGATCGAACTTGGGTCCTTGCGCTTGCGCAGCAGGCAGCAAAACCACTGATGAAGGAGACTTTCTTAGAGATTTATGATGTTTCTTTGCAGAGTGTTCTTCTTGTAAATTACCTAGCTCTACAACCCTAACCTGTAAACAACCTTGAACTTTCACCTCTGATTTCATGTCTCAGTGAGACCATTGAGCCTTGCTGGCTTTTAAGTTTCCACACCTCAATAAGAAAGTATCTCCCAGGCTGGAGAGCCAAAAGCCAAAAAGCCAGGAGAACCATGCGTCTTACTTTGTATGGTTTCCTCCTGTCCGGCATTACACTTTTGTATTGGTTGTGGGCTAATTTCTAAAAAAAAAAAAAAATGTCCTGACTTGAATAATTTGTCCAGAATTATAATTATTTAAGTTTGGAAAGCTAGTCTGCTACCATCATGGCTGGAATTTGGCAAAAGTTTCTCTTATTGTCTTTAAAAGAATCTGAATGTAAACAAAACAAAACCCTATTTCATTCTAAGCCTCTGATTCTGAGGGTACTTTTTAAATTCCAAGATGAATGAACAGCTTTCCTTTTTTCTGTTTATTTTGCTTTCTTTCTTCTTCAGTTTGTGAAAAATAGAGGTCTTGCATTGACACCAACATTTAGTTGGGTCTAATGTCAGTCATAAATATCACTTACATGTTGATGCATGGAGCATGCGCTTGTGGTACTTACATTCTAAAAGGTCTGTAAATAAAATACTTGTAGTATGGCATAAAATAAGCATACTAATAGAATTTTATAAATATTTTTACTTATAGCAGAAAGGAGGTAAGATTGTTTTATGGGAAAAGAGTCAGAGAAATTTGAAGAAATAATGAGAATTTTCAGGGATAAAACTTAAAAGCCCAGTGCTAGTTAGAAGACCAGGGCCTATGAACCATGTGAATATGAAAGGAAGAATCAAGGAATAACACACAAGCCTACTATTTACCCCCAAAAGACTTATATTTACAAAGTACTAGTAACGTCCCTTATGCCAAGAGCAGTGTTGATTAGAAGATGTTTGAGATCCTTACAGACAATACTTCAATGATACAGAAAGAAATCTTCACTTTGGCATTGCCATACACATCTCCTGGAAATACAATTTTAAATCAGATTGCCTGAACTCATACCCCAGCTAGAGTTCTAAGCTTACTGTGAGCCCTTAGGCAAGTCACTTAAGCTTTCTGGTCCCTTAGGAGGAACTGGAAGGTGCTAACACCTCTTTCAGGAGGTTCCTGTGAGTTTTGAGTGAGACTTGGAGCCATGCCTGATGTCTAGTGAGAGTTCACTGTTAAGTATGAGAACCATTAGGTGCAACAGTTGTGCGTCAGGGATTGTGGGGAGTGGGTTGAAATCAAGAAGGAGGACTCATTCGCCTCTTTCTTAAGCACCAAGAGATCCATGTTCACTGGTGTGGAGCTCTTTAGTGGATTTCCTCTAAATAATTCAGCAAGATTGTAGCACGTTTTTTGTGTTCTCTTTTTCTAGATGTCAATTATTACTAGTCAAACCAAGCAAGTGAGTTTCTAAGAAGTTTTGACAATGGACAGGTTTAGTAATAAGGAGTCACAGTACAATAATAACTCAGGAATTCAGGATTACTCAGCATCCTATGTATATGCTCCTCACAGCTCTCTGTAGCAGTCTTTGGGTAAAAGCAAAACTTGGGCCTTTGTTCCCCAAACCCTTCATATGGGCTTTGAGGCATACAGTTCAAATCTCACTGATTGCAGGTAGATAGCTGCAGAGACAAATACAGTATGGGAAGTCCTACCCTGGACGTGTAACCAGCCTTTGCTGATCAAGTTGTTTTTCTTTCCTTGCAAAAGGAACCTAGTATTCCTGAGAACTGAAAGCTTGACTTTTAAGCCCAATGCATAATGAGTGAAATAATAAAAGTAAGGAAATTTTGACCCATACCAGATGTGACCCTCAGCAGCTGGGGGTCCTTTCTTCCCCATCTTTAAGCTGCTTTTCCCTCCCTCTCTCCTGAAGGAGGATTACACTGCATCTTTGATTCCAGGAGTTGTGGTGGCCCACAGTCTTAAGGGTAGAACTGTCAAAATGGTGAAAATTAACAATCCTAGTAGATGGAGGGGGCCTCAGTAAGTTTCCATCAAGAAGAATACAGGAGCAGGGCATGGCACATACTTGTAATCCCCGCAGTCGGGAGGCTGAGGCAGGAGAAGAATGGTGAGTTTTAGGCCAGCTAGTGAATTCAGGACCAGCTTGAACTGCGTAATGAGACCCTGACTCGAAAAACAAAAGAAGAAGGAGAAGGAGAAGGAGAAGAAGAAGAGGAAGAAGAGGAGGAGGAGGATAATGAACATAGCTGAATTATTTATAGATAATTATATTAAATATTCTAATATGGTATGATTTCTTGGATGTCTAAATCTTTCTTACTTTTTTACAGAAGCATTTAAATGGTAGTAAAATCCCAGACTATTCCACATAATCTTACATAATCCTTAAAATAGCTATAAAATTGTAATAATAGTACTACTTCAATTATACCAAATCTCATTTTATAACTCATTTATTTCGGTGAGAAAACTCATATTGAACTCCAGTTTGAGTAGCCTACAACACATCTCTCCTGGGGCTATGGGATGTGGTGTGGGCCAGCACTGTTAGTGTCACTTTAAGGAAGCAAATCATGATTATGTAAATTGATGACCCACTTCCCACAGCTCCATAACCAACTCCATGCACTTCATGCTACATACCTGTTCCCGACAGTTCCCCTCGCAGCGTACCCACATGAGAATGAGCACACAGGAAAATAGCTTGTCATTAGAGTCTCTTTGGAAACATAGACTTCATAGAATTAGGAAATTTCCTGTTTCCTGTTCACAAGTCTTATTCTCACTACAGTAGACAAAATCTGTCTTGTGGCTTAGATTACATTTGGAAGTTTATTTTCCTCTTGTAAATGTTGATGTACGTAGTTAATTTGTTCTTTAATATTATGTACTTTAGGTACCCTGGATGTTAAATAAATAAAAGAAGGCTAAGCTTGTAACCCAAATACTACTGCAAAGTTAGCCAAAAGCGGACACTCTACTCTGAGTTAGTTTACAGTTTTAAACTCATATACTGTACTTGTTGGAAATTTATGACTTCTGAATGCATCGTATCTTCAAAAGAAAACTACAGATTTAACTCTTACAAATACATGTCAGTGTTTACAAACAAACAGGTTGCTCTTCATAAGGGGACAAAACCAGAAATGTGTCAAAATAAGTTTCATATTCAGAGGAAGAGATTCTTCTGGGAAAGCTGGCATAGTTCGTGTATCATTCTGCTTTTGGTCAAAGAGTAAGGCACGATCCAGGAAGGTGTCCCAGGCCAATCTCATCTCTCTTCTTTGTGACCAAGTTACTTATTTAGTATGGGTAGCACTGGTGCCTTCAGGCATCTTGGGTGTTAAATAGTTTCAAGCTTTCCAGTGTAAACAGTACAAAATCCAATCCATGGTCCATAGCACAGTACTCGGCACTGCCTCACATCCAGAAAATGTGTATTGAAGATAAAAATGAGCAAAGAGTCATTATTCTAAGCATGAACTAGGAGCATGTACCATAACTACAGTGCATATTTAATGAGTTGATATTTGCAGCAGGCCAAATATAGCTGCCTGTGTACAGATTCTGGTCCAGCTTGTAAAATATGATCCTAATATTTGGGGGCAAGATGTCAAGCATGGGAAGGGAAAAGGTGTTAGAAGATAAAGACACAGAAGATAGAGTTGCTTGAGAGACAGAATCATCCCCTGCCCCTGGGATATGCCAAGTCTGTGTTTTATATGCATGAACATATAAGCCAGAGCTCTGTCTGGAGTTTCTTTCCTTTTTTAAACACATTCATCTTTTGGAGTTTATATGAATTTATATTGCCTTGCAAAAACAATACTCAGCAGAAAAATCAGCCTTTCCCATACTTTAAACAGATATGTTATGAAAACAGGTGGGAACAACCGCAGGACAAAGGGAAACCCTCTGGGATAGACCTACTGCGTTCACTACCGTGCTCTTTACCTTACAGGCAAGGCTGTAGATTCCATCGGTGACCCCAACCTGCAGTGGGCAGCCATGGCTTTGCCCGCCTTCTTTTCTCTTGTAATTGGCTTTGCTTTTGGAGCCTTATACTGGAAGGTAAGTATGGCTACTCTTTTTTTTTCCCCTTCCTGATAAACCTTACATATTTATTCCAAAAAAAAAAAGGATCCTACTGACAAAACACTGAGCCCTCCTTTAACTGATAGTCTAAGTTTTTTTTTTAAATTTTAGATAATTTCCCGCTGTCCTTCAGTATGCTTTGAAGATAATAATCCTTGTGGCTCAGAATGCGCACTTCAGCAATGAGACCAGGTTTTTCTGCTAAATATAAAAGGGAAGATAATATGCTGAAAATCATCTGATGTGCTTAAAAGTCAAATAGATATGCTATTTGGGTTACTGCTATTTTGAATTTCTGCTCTTTTGTTCTCTTCATATTGAAGTTTGTCTAAAATTTTAAAATGTGGTAAATCATCCTGGCTCAGTTTTTAGAAATGACTTTTGAATTTGATTGCTATTTAAATAAGACAGTTTCTTTTTTACACTTTTAACCCCAATGTCCTAAAAATGTTGAGTTGATAATACATACAATTTTTATAATTCTTACTGCAAAAATATTTCACATACTGGGTAAAATGTTATTGGAGTTACTGACATGAAAGATAAAAAGTGAGGGCTCATACTTTATAACATTATAGGAATCATTCATTGATATTTTTACGATACATGTCATCATTCTTTTCCCAGAAGAAACAACCAAATCTTTCAAGAGCAGGTGAAAATATACAGATTAATGAAGAAGATAATGAGATAAGGTATTTTGCTTTGCTAACTATGAGGATAAGCAAGCATGACATTGTTATTTCTCTTACTGAGCATGTACATTTTCATGATGTTAAGAAGTTAAGTTTCATGAGGTAGCTCCCAACCAGTGTGTCCCCAATTTTTTCCATGTTTCTGATGTTTCACGGTCTCTTCAATATTACTTTTTTTTTTCCCTGTAGTACTGGGAATTGAACCCAGGGCTTTTGCCCTGAGCTACATACCCATACCTTTTAAAATTTTGTTTTAATTATTTTGAGGTAAGGTATCTGAAATATCCAGGGTGGGCTGGAATTTGTGATACCCTTGCCTCAGCCTGCCATAGTACCAGGATTACAGGTGTGCATCACCACAACTGGTGCTACATTTTCATTTACCTGTAGGATACCTTCACATATTTGTCTCCAAGGGCACATTTGCCTCTGCTTAGAATTTTCAACATGTTTACTTCTCTCATATCATGCCTGTGTGTATTATTTGTTATACATAAATATTAAATGCATATAAGCATTTTTGGTTATATGAGAGAGAGAGAGAGAAAGAGAAAGGTTTTTAACTACTTGTGTTGAGACAGAAAATTATCCTTCTTTATAGTGATGCTTATGAAGGTAAAGCTTTCAGCCCAATTTTGCAATCTTTTGCTACTGCATTTCACAGGAAAAAAAAATCCTTTTACAATGCCTAAATCATAGTGTACTTCAGAATCTCTGTCCAAAAGCAAGTACTGTAAACATTTTTCGTGTTGTTTTTCAGTATGTTGCAAGAAAAAGAGAGAGAGTTTCAAGAAGTGTAATTGTGGCTCATATCAACACTGTTACCTTCGTGCATTGGTAAGATTTTAGAATTCAAACTGACATATTTAGCAAGAACCATATAAGATCTTAGAAGCCAGAATTTAGAAACAAACTTCATTATTCTGTCCTCTATCAACCAGATGCCAGTATGTTAAACAAAGTAGTTACATAACTGAATTGTGCGTATCTCACTCATTGTACATTCTCAGATTTTGAAAGGTGAACAGTATTAGCTCTGATAAGCAAATTCATCTTGTGTGGGAGTTATAGGAACAATTAACAATTGACTATTATTTCTGAGGGAAGAAGATAAATTAGACAAGGAAAATAGAGCATATTAGGACTAACATACAATATTAGCAATAAAAAAGAAATAAAACCAATTCTACTCAGGTGTGACCACTGTAACATGACAATATCCACTTGTTAGATACTGAAAAAGAAAAAAAAACCCCACAAATGTTTCCCTGCCACTTTAAGGTGAAGGAGAAAAGGTCAAAATATCTTTTAATCAAAAGAGTAAAACAGTCAAGGCAAAGTGCCACCTGCCACATGACTAGTAATAGGTAAGGCTTATCACAGTCCAGAAACCAACATGCATGCACTGAATTAAATCAGTGATAGATGCCTGCTGTGATTGTGGGGCTTGGAGAGGGACTTTTCCAGCAGGGAGAGTAGGACATGGCCAGAAGTGACCAATGTTCATTGTCTTCTTTCCTCTCTCCTTTCCCTGATCCCAAGCTGCAGACACGGTTGAAGGAGCACCCAGCATTGCATTAGCTTGATCCACTACTGATTTCTGCTCTCCCTCGCTTTCACTAATTTTGTTATTGCTTCCTGACTCCTGTGTACATTTTACCACAGTGTGTGAACCTCCAGTTCTTCCTTGCACTCCCTCATATCAGAAGACTACTTACTGGTGTGGTGTGATGCGGTGAGCTCATCTTTCCTTGCAGGTCACTGTCCTTCCCAATTCCACTCTGTCCCAGATTCAGAAATTTATCTCCAGATTGAATCTTCCCCAGAGAAACTGGGTCACAATCTTTGGCTTCCTCTAGGAACTAACTTTTATCATTAAAAAGATCACTTTCAACAACCTGATATAGCAGGACATAGTAATTACATAGCACATGTCCAACACTTTAATGCTGTTACTCCACATATTCCCTTATTTTTACGGTTAGTCACACACTTGATCATTCCAAAGGATGAATAGCACTCTCTCTTAACTGTTCGCATCATACCTTTTTTTCTAAGCTCAGTTTTTCTGTTCTTCACTCAACACTTTTTATTTTCCAGAGCAATAGTCCCAGGGCTTAAGTATTTTTCCTAGAAACCTTTTTCTCTGCCCATTTAACTCCAATACATACCCCACTGTTTCTTTAACTGCTGTTTTAGTTCCTTTCTACTAGACACCGCAAACCACACACTCAATAGTTAATTCTTAAAGGTCAAGCAGTGTCCTGTGTTGTTTGATTTTTGAATTGTATTGCTGGGACCCTGTTTTGCCACACAGATCTTCAGTCATGTGGTTTTAATTGTGGTGTTTATTCTGAGGCATTCAGAGAGTGGATTATGATGGGAAAACCTAGGCCATTTGTTCAAGAGGAGAAAAGATAGGATTTTTAAGCAACCACAATCAAGCAACTTCTGCATATTTCTGGTAGTCAGATAACATGCAAGGGCAGGAGCTGGATGTCTTGGGGTCACTCAGGGTCCCAAGCATCTTACTTGGTGCTTGTGCGTTGCAGTCCACTTGGTGAATGTCTGTTGAATATGAGACCAAGTAAATGAATGAGACCTTACTGAAAGCTGAACTGAGCAGTAGGGAGATGGTTCTTCTGAAGGTGGGATTGTCTTTGTCTTGTGTCTGTGTGTGTATGTGTGATTAATTTGCTGGTTCTAGACAGTGCTATGACAAGCTGCACACAGCGAAGGGAATTATGGGAAATCTAGCATTTATGTAATTTTCTTAAAAGTATGAAATATTACTCATGTACACAATGAATCAAATGAGACAGGCAGGTAGAAGGAGCCCAGAATTGTTCTGAAAGAGACTCATCGCATTTATTGAGTCAGTGTTAAATGGGTGGTGGAATGAATGAAGTCAGTGACTAATTCCCTGTCATTGAGTACCTCATTCCTTATCGCTGCGAATCCCTCTGAAGGCTCAGTTCAGATACCACCACCTGCAGAACTCTCTGATTACATTTCAAATGACTGCTGGTAACACATCCCTTATTTACATAGACATTTTGTATCTTTTTTTGAAATCATAAACTGTTGTTTCTGTATTTAATTCTGGAACCCCACCAAACTATATTCTTATTCTTTGCACATATATGTGATGAATAAATATTTGTTGAATAAATGCATGAGATAGGAATATCTTTGAGAATTTAGTAATCTGAGAATAAAAATTTTTGGAGATTAAAGAACACAAGTCAACTTGAATATATGTATAAGTAAATAAAAATTCAAAACTTTTAATGGGCTAGGGATTTAGCTCAGTGGCACTGTGCCTGCCTCACAAGCAGAAGGTCCTGAGTTTCATCCCTGGTACCGGAAAAAAAAAAAAGAAGAAAAGTATTTTAATGTAACCGTAGTCTTAGTTAAGGAGAAAGGAGAAAAGAAGCAAATAACTCAGGTTTATGGCAAGGATTTCTCCCTGAAAATGGAAGTTTTACCAACTAAACCAAAATAATTCCTGATAAATATTGAAACACTAGAATAGAAAACTTAGGAAGTTGATAATTCCCCAAAGGAAATAACCTGTAATTTGAACACAAAACACAAGGAGGGTCTAAATTTTAAATACAAGGAAATGACATGGATAAATTAAATAATGAACTAGAAATGAGAGATTTTGGCTTCTAAGAAAAATATACTCAACTTGTGTTATTTGATATCACACATGAAAAAAATTTATATGAAAATTTAAAGATCTACTTTGTTACCTAGCTGATACCAGCTGTCCATGTCTGGCAACCTTCATGTTTTAGGCTGTATGTAGCACAACTTAAAAGAAAGAAATAAAATAGAGATAAGTTACATTAGAAACTTCAGGGCCGGGGGTTTACCTCAGTGGTTTCGCCGCCTGCTGCGCAAGCGCAAAGACCCGAGTTCGATCTCCAGTACCAAAAAAAGAAACTTCATTTATGTTAGTATAATATGGGGAAATTGTGCTCTTTATTCTTCCTACAGATGTGATTCCACCAAACTCTTGCACATGCATTGGTGGATGGAACCTAGTTGTACCTTCAAGTTACTTATAGCCTCCAAAAGGAAATGAGACTAATCTTATTAAATGGTGAGCTGTAAGTCTGTAAAGTTCAAAATGCAAAAAAGGAAACGTTACAGAAAAAATGTAGTAAGAGATCAAAGTTGGTGCAACTGCACATGGTTGTATAAGATGTGAACTGAGCACAACTCAAGATATTGGGCTGGGAAGGTATCCCTGATAATTGTACCATTCACACCCACATGAAATTGCCTTATTTAAAGGAATAGAGAGACTGCTAGCCACAGGAGAAGGGAATTATTTTGTACGTATTGGAGGTAGCACTTATAATGAGCTAGACCTTGCATTATTGATAACATTTTATTAGAAATGGCAAAGGATTAACTTAGATACTGCAGACAACATAAACCAAGTCATGAAGGCCCCAAACTATAAATTGTGTTCAAAAGTTGGTTTGTGTCATTGGATTCCATTGGAAATCACACAGAAAGGGTGAAAATACTGAGCACAAAGAGTGGGCTTTAGCTTGAAAGAGCTTTGAATTCTAAGAACAAAGCTTGCATCCCATTAGGCAGCATAAGGAACTGTTTCTGGCTTAAGAAGAAATGGATGATACCATCAAAACAGAGGTTCGGGAAAAGTAAGCAGGTGTTAGTGTGGTCAGAAGGATGAGGAGGCTGCCCGGGGGGCCTGTCTTCCAATCAGATGTGAGAAAGTGGCCACAGGAAGTAGGATCAGAGCCATGGAGATGGGAGATTATGGACCATTTTGGAGACATTGCCATTACTGATGGGATGTGAAGCTTGACAGGACTCATAGATATTTTAGCGCTTATGGGACTTAGCAGATGGAAATGCTATTTAAAGAAAATAGGAAGTAAAGAGGAGTTGTTGATAAATATTGGTGGAACTGACTAATGGCCAAGTATGTTAGACTGGAACTACAGAAGACAGTTGGGGCTGGAAACTATAGATTTGGAATTTGGGAATTAAATACAAAGATTCTTAATCAAGACCCAGCAAGAGAGATTGCTTGGTCATAGAAATGGCCCAGTCTGGTTGACAGTAAAGAGCATTTATTTGTATCATGTACTCTTAGTAGTTTCTTGACTAATTCATCATGATAAATGTAGAAAGTAATTCTCATGACTGTTAGGCATGTGAGGAGACTGATAAAAGAAACACAAGCTAGAACTTTCCTGTAAATTCTAAGCTGTGATCAGTAGAAAGTGGATTTTAGAATTGGAACAGGGAAAAGCTCAAATCAAGCTTGGACATGGAGCGTACAGGGCTTGGGAATGGTAGGTTAACCAATTTAACTGGTTATAGGATCCTGGATGAATCAGTTAACGTCTTCTGGCCCATGAGTTTTTGTACACAGTCATGTACCATGTAACAGTGTTTTGGTCAAAGATATACCACACATGTGACATAGGGCAGTCATCCCGTAAGATCAGAATATATGTACCTCCTAGGTGCGCAACAGGTACACCATCTGGGTTTGTGTTAGTACACTCGGTGATGTTTGCCCAGAAACAATGAGCCTAATGACTCATTTCTCAGACTGTACCCCCATCATTAAGCAACTCATCCCTGTATACTGAGGCCATAATAATACTTGTCCTGCTTATTTCATGAAGCCGTTGTAAAAATTCAGGGTATCATTATAAAAATTGTAGTTTTGTTCTATGGGAAAAACAGTGGTGGCTCTTCAAGTTTATTTTGTTTGCTAAGTGACCCAGGGACAAAAATAAAAATAGATTTCCAATCTTGCTTCTCTACATTTAATTAAGTCTAGAATTTCAAATTATCCCTACCTTTAAAAAAATATCCCTTTGCATTTTGTGATTTTCTTTTGCTTCTTAGCCATGATTTATTTAAAAAAATATTTTCCATACATTTTGGATTTCTGAAGTTTTCTCTTAATGTCTTTTAATTTTTCTTTCTGGATTTAATTCTTCTTTTCTAAATAAAGGGTTCCTAGTTTCTAGGTAACTTGTCATCTATACAGATTTGAATGTATGACTTTTTAAAGAGCCTGGGAAAAATACTATAATTCTAATTATTCATACAATTAGACTGTATAAATATTCTACAAAATGATCTCTATTTTGAAACCAGTGATTTACAATTCTAGGATTGATAAACAAGGACAAATGTAAGGAAGGAGAGTGAGGAAGAAGTAAGAAGAATGCAAAATACACATTCATTTGGGGATTTTCTGGCAGATAAAGTGAAGCTATTGTCTATAACTAAAAAAAAACACATAAAGATGTACAAATGTTTTACTGGAAAGTTGAAAAATCTGATGAAAGCTGAGTGGTTTAACACCATCACTGAAGAACTAAAACAAAGTAAGGCTTTCTTGCTTTCCCAAGTACAATTTACCTCACTAAGATCAAGAGGAAACTCCCCAGGGCTCCTGTCAGAATGTGGTGCTAGGGTTTCGGACTTTTCTGTGAATGGAAATATCGAGTGAGATCTTTCCTCAGCAGGGAGTACCTAGCTAGACATCCGGGATATTAGAGCTGCTCATTGGCTGGAAGGCTGTTCCCTGTCGGTGGCCTCTGACAGCTTCTCTGCCTGGGACAGGGACTCCATCTGTGTTCACTTCTCTCCTCTCCATTCTCCAGGCACTACCTTGACCATCACACCTTCTCCCCTCCCTTCCTTATCTACCACCTTTTAAACCCTTGCTGGAGAAATTCAAGGTTAAACAGCTCGACAACCCTCTTACACAAACCGAGATAATTGGTTATGTTTGGAGGTATGAAAAGCCACAGAGTATTCATTCATCCATTCTTGGAAATATCACTGAGTACATGCTGGGCCTACATGGCAAGCACTGTTTCAAGAGTTGAGGGCCCTTATGGAGTTTACCTCCTACTAAGAGGACATGGACAACAGACAGTAAGATCATTTCAGATAAATGCAAGTGTTGCCAGGGATGATCAACTAGGAAAAAAATATACCCAGTTCTTTTAAGCCAAGTTCAAGACACAGTGTAAGTGTATTACTCAGTCTAGGGGCTTATACATGCATTCAGCTATTGAGAAAGAAAAGAGGCAGAAAGAAAACACACCGTAACTTCTTTTTCTATTCCTTCTCTAGGGTGGTAACAGTTCATGTTTGCTTCATAAATGAAGCAGCTTTAAACCAATTCCTATTCTGTCTGAAGCAACAGACCTCATCTTTATGTGTTCTTGCTACCCATGACTTCATATGGATGATTCAGAACTTGGAACAGAGTGTTTTACTGTGAAAGTGACACTGAATTAATCATCTATAAAGAAGAACTTGCATGGAGCAGCATTCTATTTTAAGGACTGGAGGGTCTTGTGGTCTCATTCAGAACTTGTGTGATGATGGGAGAGAAAGCACGTGTCCGTACCACTTTGCACGCACCATTTGCATGGCTCCAGAAATGTCTTAGTGCTGAACAACCACACAGCTCTTTACTCTTCAGTTACAATCTGCAGCCTGTAGTCATCCCAGTCTCTGCAAGTAGGTTTCAGCCTGGCTAGTGAGGGGAACAACTTTTTCTCAAAGGGATCTAGAAAACAATATGAAAAACAAAAACTCAGAACCATCAGCCACTGTGGAGTGTGGAAAGCAGTGGGAGCTTAGTGGTGGGAGCAGGTGTGTCAGTGTGGTAGTTGGGGATTACTGAGAGGAGTCTGACGTTGATCTCTTCCTGACATAGACCAGGCACACGTGAGAAATGGACATGGTTGGCTGATTCAGTCTATGCAGGGGAGTCAGTACTGAATTAGAACAGTGACACCTTGGGCTAGGGAAACCTCTCCAAAAGAGTCATCGCAGGAGGAAGCTGTGAACCCTGATTAGCAGAATGTGCCAAGGAGGACATTGACATCCCTGGCAAAGTCAGCCTTTTGCCATGGCTACTCTAGAGTGTATAAATTGTGTTTGCAAATTATATTATGACATGTTTATACTTTAAAACTATTACAGAGTTATGTAACCAGACGTGGGAGAAAATGCTGAATGTATGATGGTCCCATTTTCAATTTCTACCATGGGAGAGAGTAAAAATAAATTAGGATATTTAGTATCTAAGGTTAGAAAATCACACCCCCATGCTAATATGGGTGTTAAAAACTAGGTTACTTGGCTTTTACAATAATGGAAGGAATCAGGAAACTTTAGTTATTTATAGTATAATCACCATTATCTGTTTAAAGGAACAACTTATTTAAAATCAGGCACCCTATATTCATTAGAGTTTATGAATTAAAAATAAAAAGAGAGCTTTATGTAGTTATGCATGTCAGTTTGCTATTTAAAATATGTGACAGCATTTGTCATATTGAGAGTGAATTTGGCCAGAATTCCCAAGATGGACATTATACTTTTAAAATGAAATGTGTAGCACACAATTTTAATTCCCCTTGTCAATTTTTCAGTAGTCAAAAGAACATCTTAATAAAGTCAAATAGTGACTTTTCTGTAGTTTTATTTTGATGCAAATTCTTTTAACACATGAATAAATACCTAAAGGAATCCAAAGCCTCTCATTCAAACCTAATCTTTATAATAACATTATTGCCATGTACTATAACCATAAGATGACCATTTTTAATGTTGTTATACAAAAGGGCATGAAAAACTATATGCTAGCTTTTCTTTGATTTCAAATATCCAAGAATTTCTAGTATAGTTGGATTTTAGCTTATATCCAAAGCTAATCCAAATACAACTCTGGTTTGTGGCCTTTGCTCTTTTTCATACCAAAGAGCTCAGATGATTTCTATGGTCTCTTTCTTCTTTAAAGTGCTGTGCTTCCTCCAGCACAAGACATTTTTCTAAGAATCAGTACAAATCAACTGGGAAGCTGCATTAACTTGTCAGGCCCTCAGATATCCCATGGCACAACTGGTGAGTAATAAAATTGGGGATCAGTTTAATTGCTGAAAGGACCTATCTGTGTGTGTGGCATTGATTGTCTTGAGGCAAATAGGCATAGATTAACATGACTTATATGTGTAGGTGGTGTATAGATTGAGAAGACTGACAGTCTCAGGCTAGTGGTTTGGTTTCTTTATCCAGTGTTTTCAGTTTGTTTGGGTTTCTGGAAATGCTGTTTACTGAGCTTGAGAGTAGAAGAAATACACTTTTGTTCTCAAAGCTAGTAGTTTGGTTTAACACTCAAGAAAATGCTCTTAATTAATAAATTTAGGAGGTTATGAAACCTGTCATGGTAGGGGAGGAGAGATGTGTCCTGCCTATTAAATGTATCGGTTCACTGAGAGTTACATGGATTGGCAATTTTTAAAACAATAAAGTGCATGAATAATAGAAAAGTACTGAACATCATTTTGGATGCTAGCTGCTTGGACATTTAATTATATCATACTTGCTTTGGAATAAAAATATACATATGTCTTTGCTTATTTGATCTCATATGTGTTCTGAATGTCCTTTTTCATAAGTAATGGGAAACTCACAACTGAGATGATGAACCATGAAATAACCTTTTAAATTGGTGCCATGTATCCTATCGTTCTCTTTACAATGTTTCAAAATTGCCTTGCAATTAGAATGATCTCAAAAGTTTGTAGATTCTAAATTGTACTGAGAGCTTTGCACCTCTGTGGTCAAGACCAAATGTATAACAAAACTGGCTCAGTGGTAAACAGGGCCTGCCCAGTAATCCTGAGAATTCCCGGATAACGAATGATAATGTAAGGTGCTTACCACACAGCCACTTTTAATGAGTCAGGGGAAAATTGATTTTTTAACACAGTTTCAGTCTAACTCTTCCTCTTAAAAAGAGTTCACATATGTGAAAAATGAAAATATGAGAAATATGAGAAAGTATGTGTCCATAATGAAGTATTTGCTTTTAGTAAGAATAAAACACATTTTACTCAGAGAAATTTTGTAGTACATTTCAGCACAAATAATTCAACTGAAGTTATAAATGAACAGAAAAATCCATTCTGAAATCATGGCTATTTCCTAAAGTGTTTCTGCAGCTAGGTTTCGGTGTCAACATTTGATTCTAATATGGGGCACTTAGCCATTCCATATCTGTTCTTCAAGAAATAGACTCTTCAAAAAGACAGTTTGGCAGAGTGAGAATGGATGTTGGGAAAATTGTCAGAAGCTCTACTCTGCCATTAAGTAATGTGGCCGATCGCCTCTCCTCTTAGAGTCTCAGTTATTTATTTATGATAAATTTGGAGGTCACTTCTTGGGATGAGCCTTTTCTGCTACGTGACTGACATGCAGATTAAAATGCAGCACAGCAGAAAATGTCCCATACAAACTATCCAACTCTGTTCTCTATGAGTAAGCATTTTGACCACAAAAAATTTATGTTGTTTTTTGTTTCTAATGTAAATAGGGTCAATTAGTAAAAGTGAAATTCAGTTGCAAGTAGGGCAAATTAGATAACCATTTACACAAGAGGTGGGTTTTACTTTGCTTAAATAAACATTTTGGATCACCTCCGAAGAAAAAAAATTAGTAGTGTATTTTAGTGGGGGAAGATATACTTTAAGATGTGTGTGACATTTGGAAATGCACCAAATTAAACATTTGAATGTTCTCATTTTATTGAAAGCTAAGAACAGAAGCTATAAGCTACTCATACAGTTTTTGAATGCCAAAAGATATTTCACAACCAATTCATAAAAGGGTAATCCATAAAATAAATTTTAAAAGTGGAAAGTGGGACAAGAATTTTAAAGGAAGTCAGATTACTTTGAACTGATAGTATTTTAAATTTAGCTTTAAAATATAACCATTCAGGTTAAAATTCAACCACCCAATTTATGGTGTTGCTGCCTTTCACTAACTAGTCTTTTAAAATGACTTTGTAAATATAAAACAATAGTACTTTCATTTCATAGTTTTTAAAATAATCCATATTAAAATTTATATTTATGATCCTAAAATGTTTGCTAAGCATTGTAATGTATAACTCATCTCCAACTACATTCTTATAATGCTCTTAAAATATAATTAAGATGATAATTGTTTAAACAAAAAACCATGATATTGTCATTTACTTGAATTTTGAGATGCAAGACTCAATATAATTTTCCAAACGAAGTAGCCCTTTCTCCTGTATTCTAAGCATTAATGCGTGGTTAGTATGTCCACTTGCCACTGTTTTTTAAATCAATGGACTTGAAAAGTATTCAGACATTTAGATGGATGCACAGATATATCGCTCGTTCAGTCATAGATCAGAGTTTGCATATTGTAATGTAAATGTATGTCAACACTATTCTAAATAGTTTTATTATGACTGAAGTTTAATTAAATAAAAAAGGTTGTAAAATGTGATGTGTATGTGTATATACTGTATGTGTACTTTTTAAAATAGGTAAATGTCCTGACCCTTTTTATACAGGTTTGAATTTGAAATTACATTATATAAACATATACTTTATTGTTCTAAATAAAGAATTTTATGCACTCATAAACTTGCCCTCTCATTTGATCTTTTAAGGTCATCACACATGTTCACAACCTGCATGAGCATTTGTTAATTTAAATTTGTCAAGTTAAAATCAATTTTTTTCATGGAAAGTTTGCTTAGTCATCTATATTTTGGAGAAATGCAAATGCAAGGCTATAATGAATCATTTTTAATTCAGTGTTTATTGGCATTAAAATAGGGAAGATAAAGGTGAACTAACACACTGCCCTGAAGAGTTTTAATTAGAAAAATTAATTGGGAAAAATATATGAAAATCACTATAATATATATAAAGGCACTGAAGTAACTCCTACATACAAATCAGGTCTGGGTTATGTGCTTAGGGCATGCAAGAAGACACATATAGAATGAGGAGGCTCATGGAGAAGCTTGTGTTTGGACTAAGACTTATAAAGATGATACATTTTTGATAGAATGAGGATTACACATAGTCTGAGTAGCATTTTCCAAAACAAGAAGTTGTAATATTTCTCAACTTATTTCATCAGATCAAACATATGTGGTCTTAGCACATACTGAGGAAATAAATACACAGCAAGATATGTAAGAACAGACTTGGATGCCACAGTAAGAAATGCAGACACTATTCCTAGGATTCACAAGAATGCCTTGTTTCTGGGAAAAGAAATGGTGAGATTTATGGCTTATCTTGTTTAGGCAGCAAATAATTGTCTGACTTAGCCCCTGGTTTGTCTTTGATCTTTGAGACCACATCCCCCAGCCTTATGATATTTATGCATTCACCCAACATTTCTTTTCAGAGTTGCCTGGGGATTCTCCCTCTTCTCCTTCTCTATATACCAGACTTCCAGCAACATAAATATAAATGACACCCCGAGTTCGATCCCCGGTACCAAAATATACATACATATATATACACACACACACACACACACACATATATATGATGTAACATCCTCAGATGTGATCACATTCCTTCACTTTAGTCCTTTTTCAACCATTTTATCATGTTACATATAATAATATGGAGATGTCAGATGATATTTTTTTAAAACGTAAATCTCTTCTCATTGTTTTTGGAATAAAATTAAACTCAACGTGGATTTTTTCCCCTCTTTTTTTTAGATTGCTAATTGTTTTCTCCTTTAAACCATAAACAGCATGAAGACTGGGCCCCTGAATACTACCACTGTATTCCTCAAATTTTGTACAAATAATAATTCATGGAATTGAGCCAAAACAAACTTTGACTGAAGAACTATCATCTATTTTACTGCCTAATGTTATCTTTTAAAACTTTTTATTATGGACAATTTGAAATATATACAGTGGTAGAGAGGACAGTATGATGAACTATGTAACCACAACCCTGCTTGAATCTTACCTCTGAGTAATCTTATTTTATCTAAGCCCACTATCTATACCCCTATCTATTCTTTCATATTATTTTCAGCAAATGCCTAAAAACATTCGAATAAATACAATGTAAATGCTATGTAAAGAGTTAATACACTATATTGTGTAATGAATGAGAAAAACCCTGAACATGTTCAGCACAGATACATTTGTTTTCTAATACCTTGTGTCCACAGTTGGTTGAGTCCACTATTGCAGAATCACTGATAAAGAGAGGCTGTGATATCATGTGTGCCCTTTGGCATTCCAATCCACACTGTGCAAATCCAACATGCTCAGAACTTTTCCTTAATCATCTTCTCAAAATTAAAGTGAGGCACTCTTCCGAGGACATATTAGCTGTGTCCTTTCCTGATCTTTCTTTGTTAAGCCATACCCTTGCTCAAATCCAGTTATCCACCTATTCTTTATCTACACATAGAACACAATGCAACATCATGCCTATTAGTCCTTCTGTAAATTTCAAGGCATGCTCTTGCTGCTTAGCAGTTATACTGTGGTCCTTATTTACACTTTCGGTTTCTCATACCAGAGAAACAATGTGATATTTACATGTGTGTCTGATTCATTTCACTTAAGAGTATGGTTTTAAAGTGCCTTCATTTACCTAGAAATGTCTCAAGTTTATCCTTCTTTATGGCTGAGTAGTACTCTATTGTATTAAAAAACCCACATATTTATCCATTCGTCAGTTGATGAGCATTTGGGCTGTTTCCAAGATTTAGCTGTTACAAACTGTGCTGCTGTAGATATGCATGTGCATGTATGGTTGTGGTACATGCTTTTAATTCTCTTGGGAAGATATGGGCATCTCTTGCTCCAGTCTACACTCGCACCAACAGTGGAGAAGGGTTCCTTTTTCCCCGCAGGCCACCCAGCGTTGGTTGTTGGTTGATTTCTTGATAACAGCCATTCTTTCTGGAGTGAGATGGAATCTCAGCATTGTTCTAATTTACATCTCTCAAATGACCAGTGATGTTGAACATTTTATGTGGCAGGAGGCTATGCCATGGTGGAACTACGTCCTGTGGACATGACACCAGAAGTTAGTGGCTGATTGTGCAAACATGTGGAAGCTGATCTGTGCAAAACTCTCTCCATCATCAATCACCTGAAGTATGGAATGGTGGATTCAGAATCTGGTTTCATTGATCTCTCATTTTCCTCATCAGTGGGACACAATACCTGACACCTACAATTTAAGGGAAGAAAGGCTTATTTTGGCTCACATTTTAGAAGTTTCAGTCCTTACGTGGTCAGCCTACTCCAAGGCAGGATGGCATAGCAGAGAGGAATGGTGGAGAGCTAATTAGGGCATGGCAAAAAGGAAGCAGAGACAGGAAAGGGAGGAGCTGGGGAAGGCTAGGACCATGGACACTCAATTCTTTCTACCAGACCCCACCTCCTAACAACCCTCATAAACCAATCCCCTTCCAAACATCCTGCCTATGAGTGCATAAGGCTTGTGGGGGCCATCTAGATATAAACCAGTTAATGTTTGGCCAAAACAGAATGTTCGGACTGTCAGAAAAATAATAATACAGAATATAGCCATTCCTTGGTATTAGAGGGATGGTCCCAAAACTCCTTGCAGATAGCAAAATCCTTAGTTGCCCAAGTCCTTTACACAAAATGACATAATATTTGCATACAACTTATGCACATTCTCCTGTATACTTTAAGTCATCTTAGATTTACTTATACTACAATGTAAATGCTATGTTAATAGGTGTTATACTAGTATTAACCAGAGAAAAACTCTCCAGGTATTTAATACAGGGGGAGTGGAAGTGGCAGGGGGAGTGGGGGAAGAAGAAGGGAAAGGAAAAATATTAGAAAAGGAAAAAATGGAAACAAAGTCTTGTAAATAGAGAGGGGTGCAGAGGTTGAAGGGAGGACGTGGGGTGGGGAAAAAATAAGAACCAAGATATATTACGAATGGGTACAAATTCCCAATGATGAATGTGATCATATTGTATACCTAAAATGTGCCAATAAACTTAATGAATAAAAAAATTTCTGATCCAAAGCAGACTGAAGCCATGATGGAGGACATGTGGATATGGAGGACCGACTCTATACAATTATAAACAAATCACACACACACACACAAAAAAAAAACACATCACACAATTTTTTATGTTACTGGTAAGGAAACAATAAAATCTAACAAAATTGTTTTGTTTTTAGTGCCAGAAACTTTGTATGTGTGGTCACATTTTTGTGCTTCTCAGTTTGCTGGCTTGACAAATGCATACTGCTGCTTACCAACAAAAAGCATCACACAGATTTTTTAACTGAGTTATAAAAAAACAACCTTGTTCATGTATTCAATCACTCTCCCTCCTCTGAACCTCTGAAAACCACTTATTTTGTTAAATTGTCCTTACAGCTTTTACCTTTTCCAGAAGAAGTGATATAATTAAAATTCCGTGTAACTCTCTCAAAGCAGCTTCTCGTACTTAACAATATTCATTTAAAATTCATCTATCTTTCATACCTGAAGAGTTTATTTCTTCTTATCATTGAATAATACTCCAAAGTATGGCTCTATCATCACAATTTATCTATTCACCTAATCAAACAAGCTTCAGTGGTTCCAGTTTTTGATGATTATTAATAACACTTCTTTAAGCATCATTGCTCAAGTTTTTGTTCGGACCTAAGTTTCAAATCATTTAGATAAGCACCTAGAAGCGCAATTGCTGGGCGGTATGTTAGGATGATGTTTAGGTTTGTGAGAAATGCCAAACTGTCTTCCCAAGCGGCTGTACCATTTGGCATCCCCAGCAGCTGGGAACGAGGGTCCCTGCTGCTCCTCATCTTTGCCAGAAATAGTTATTGTCAGCTTTTTGGATTTTAGCCATTCTAATAGGTGGGTAATAGTATATAATTATTGTTTCACTTTGCAATTCCCTAATGACAAATGATGTTGAGCACTTTTTCATATGCTTATGCGCCATCTGTATAACTCCCTCAGTGAGGTTTCTGTTTAAATCTTTTGTCCATTTTGAAATTGGGTAGTTTGTTTTGTTATTGTTGAGTTTTAAGAGTTCTTTGTATATTTTGGATACAAGTGCATTGTTAGATATGTGTTTTGCCCATATTTTATCCCACTCTGTGGCTTGTCTTTTCATCCTCCTAATGATGTTTTTTCACAGAACAGCTGCAAGCATTAAAAAAAAAAATGTGTACACAGTATGAGTCTTAATCAATTCATTCCCTGGTCTCATTGGGGGAAAAGCAGCTTTGGCCATACCTGAGCTTGATTACTTCAGTTCTTTGCCAAGTGTTTTCTGGTTTCTCTTGATAGACTATCTCAAATACTTGCAAATTTGGGTTTTTAAAAAAATTTTGTGTAGCAAGATGCACTATATTGTCAAAGTCTTGCCATCTCTTCAAACCTTTGTCATTTTACAGACTTCTAAAATATATATTTTAAAGGCACAGAACAAAAATCTGAAACACATAAGTAACATAGTTGGCAAAATTAGTGTGCATTTAACTCTGATTTGACATTTTTTAAGTGTTTCATAAAAATGATTGAGAAATTACAAACTCCTGATTCAAATATATAAAAATGGATACAAATGACCCATTTTTGTC